ACAAAATTTAAAAATTACATCTAAAAGAGACAGAACTTGTACCTAAACAGAATTATTTGCTGAGACAAAGAAAGGCATAGGTTAAAAACTGGTTAAGAAAATTACCAGGAAAAGTATTTTCAGCACTTTGGGAGGCAGAGGTGGGCAGATCACTTGAGGTCGGGAGCTCGAGACCAGCCTGGCCAACATGACAAAACCTTGTCTCTACTAAAAATATAAAAGTTAGACAGGCTTGGTGACGCTCGCCTGTAATCCCAGCTACTGAGTAGGCTGAGGCACAAGATTCGCTTGAACCTAAAGGCGGAGGTTACATGAGTCCAGGAGTGGACTGCACTCCAGCCTGGGCGACAGAGCAAGTCTTTTTTTTTTTTTTTTTTTTTTGGAAAGAGTGTCAAAGTAGCCAGCTAAATGTCAGGAAGTTGCGTTTTGTCAGCTGATTTAGTTTGATAGATTGTTTCTTCGTCCTTTTTTTTTTCCTTTTTTTTTTTGAGGCAGAGTCTCCCTCTTTCGCCCAGGCTAGAGTGCAGTGGTGCCTTCTCAGCTCACTGCAACTTCTGCCTCCCGGGTTCAAGAGATTCTCTGCCGGGCACGGTGGCTCACGCCTGTAATCCCAGCACATTGGGAGGCTGAGGTGGGCGGATCGCGAGGTCAGGAGATCAAGACCATCCTGGCTAACACGGTGAAATCCCGTCTCTCTAAAAATACAAAAAATTAGCCGGGCATGGTGGTGAGCACCTGTAGTCCCAGCTACTCTGGAGACTGAGGCAGGAGAATGGCATGAACCCGGGAGGCCGAGCTTGCAGTGAGCCGAGATGGTGTCACTGCACTCCAGTCTGGGAGACAGAGCGATACTCTGTCTCAAAAAAAAAAAAAAAAAAAAAGTTTCTCGTGCCTCAGCCTCCTGAGTAGCTGAGATTACAGGCGCCTGCTACCACACCCAGATAGTTTTTGTATTTTTAGTAGAGTGTTTCGCCAAGCTGGCCAGGCTGGTCTCGAACTCCCAGCCTCAAGTGATCCGCCTGTCTCAGCCTCCCAAAGTGCTGGTATTACAGACATGAGCCAGATAGATTGTTTCTTAATGAGATTACTGACTTCAGGATGGAGCCTCTTAATGAATAGGGCAGTGAAAGAAGTTGCAGTGGTCAGGGCCTAATATTTAAATATGTGAAAAGCAGGCAGAGCTGAAAAGGCAGAACATTCAGATCTTTAAAAATCAAGGATCCTACTTTTACATTGAATCCCAGGTCCCCAAGAAGAGGGAAATACCACCGAACCGGTGTGAATTCTTTCCACAGTTTTCCTCAATACAAGGACGTTTCACAGAGGCTGGTGGGTGACCTGACTCCATCAGTCCGCTCTGCAATCAGCCCCCCTCCCACAGGAGTCTTCAAGTGTTCAGAGCACACCTTTTTAATCTAAACAGGGAAAGAAACAAGTTGCCTCCTTCAGTAATGACCATTCACTGCAACAGCTGTCAGCCACTTCTAAAACTGCAGCTTTTGCCAGTGACTTGCCAGCCATCGCACATGCAAATGTCAAGTTCTCCCCTACAATGCAAAGTAATACGTCATACTCCAAAAGCCAAAGAGATCCAGAAACTGTGCAAAATAGAGCCGAGCCATAGACCTGGGAGAAGCCTACTCATGACTCTTAGATTCCATGAGAAAGACTGAAGACCCCAAAAAAGGGTGGGCATGGCCCCTTTTTCCATGTCCTCAAGGGGTCTCAGGAGTGCCAGAAGTCTCCTATGTGTTACCAAAGATGGCAAAAGGGAGAAGGGGCAGAAGTGTAAGGAAATGGAAGAGTTAAGTATTAGGCCACTTTGGGAGATTTTCAGCTTTCTAAAAGGCCAATGAAATTTTACATTTTTCTCAACCATAATCATGCCAACAAGGTAGGAAGCAAACAGTGGCCTCCAGCATTTTTTTAAGGGGGTTTCACGTTACTAAAACATATTATCAGGAGATTAGGATCGAAAAGAGAAAAGCAGAAAGTGGCTTTTTTCAGTTTTCAAAAAAAAAACAAAATTATAGCTGAGATATCAGCTTTAATTACAAGCAGCTTGTGACAGAGAGCTTTTTTTTTTTTTTTTTTTTTTGGGGAGACGGAGTCTCAACTGTGTCACCAGGCGTGGAGCGCGAGTGGCACTGATTTCGGCTCATGCAACCTCCGGCCCTCCCAGTTCAAGGATTCCTCTGCCTCAGACTCCAGAATAGACGGCATTTACAGGCGTGCGCACCACGGCCGGGCTTAATTTTGTATTTGTTAGTAGTAGATGCGTTTCACGTGTTGGTCAGGCTGGTCTTGAAGCTCCTGACTCTGATCTCCACCGCGTTCAGCCTCGTCCAAAGCGGGGTGGCGGTTACAGTGCATGGAGCCACTGGGGGCGTGACCTGGGATTTACAGGCGTGAGCCCACCGCACCCGCAACCACAGAGCTCTTTAAAATTTTTTGGGCCGGGCGCGTGGCTCACGCCTGTAATCCAGCACTTTGGAGCCGAGACGGGCGGATCACGAGGTCAGGAGATCGAGACCATCCTGGCTAACACGGTGAAACCCCGTCTCTACTAAAATGCCAAAATTAGCCGGGGAGCGGGCAGGCGGCCTGTAGTTCCAGTCTCGGGAGGGCTGAGGCAGGAGAATGGCGTGAACCCGGGAGCGGAGCTTGCAGTGAGCCGAGATCGTGCCACTGGCACTCCAGCCTGGGCAACTAAGTGGGACTCTGTCTCAAAAAAAAAAAAATTTTTTTTG